TATACTGTCTGAAATTTATAGAGAATTCAGAAAAGCAATAAGTCTTAATTTTTCGAACCGCCTCTCCTTTTTATAATCACATCTCTTAAATTGTATTATTGATTGGGCTTTACTCATTCTGCAGATTGTGTCTGTTTGGGTCTTGCACTTTTTTTCATGCTACAATTCTTCTACAACTAGGTAAAGATGTACTGCTTTCTCAATTATTTAATTTTTTTGATTTAATCGCTAAAGCTATTCTCCTTAATTCGAAATTTTAGTTGGAGTTTTTTATTCCTTAGTCCGTAGTATTTCCCATTTTATCTTTTGTTAGAGGAACCCACTGCGACATTCCGACTTGGTTATCTTTGCATCTGAGCAGAACCTATATGAGTTTGTATGTAACCGTTCCCTAATTTATATCAGGATTGCCTAGTATCTTAACTCTTCTGTCACAGTTTTTCAGTCATAGGCTTAATTTACTTGCAATTATTTGATTAGCTGAGAATATTCCAATAACTAATCGTCTAAGTGTTGACTATTTTCTATTATCCTGATGAATGCATTATTTTTATGGTTGTTCTTTTTTTTTCTTTTAACATACCTTATTACGTAATTTGCGTGCTGTACTGTTTGCTTTATATTGGAATTGGAGTATTTTCATAAAACCTGTAGTTGACTTATTTTCTTTTCCTGACGCTACCAATTACATACTGTATTTTCTTCCCTAACTCGTCTCAAGCTTCTCTTAATACGTTTCCCGATGTCTTTAATGTTTAATGGTTTACTTTATTCATTTTAAGAAAGCTTGTTATACAAGACCTGTATTTACCTGTCCCTATAGCCCTCTTTTCATACATTTCTTAGCCCCCCACTAGCCTCGAATTCAGTTCCTCTATCGACCTGCCCTTGGGTGGGCTTTCTATGACATCAGGAACTCCTCCACATCCGAATGACAATCGTGTTGGCTTTGAAAACATCACTTCTCTGGCTGCCAATGACCCCTCTTCATCATCACCGACTCACAATATTTCAAGCCTATCTTCAGATCAGCCTGTTAATCATTTGTCAGTCTTAGGTCAGTCATCTGGGCATCCTGCTTGCGAGCTGGAGAGATTTTGCTTGCAACAGGAGTTAGATGATACTCGAAATCAACTTGATTCTGTAGGTCTCTTCTGCCTTTTACTTTTCACTCTAAGCTCGGTTCATTTTTAACCTATTCAGATATCCATGAGACATGTGTAATAGCTATTAAATTTCAACATATTTGCATAGAGGTGAAGCTATTTAATCATCGAGCCAGGATCTTTATTACTTTTTTAATTTTTAAAAATATCTATGTCAAACGGATTTAAATTTTCTCAATTTGCTTATTTATATTGGGCTCTTGAGAGTAGTTGTGTTATTAATTGTACCCTTTTTCAAATTGTATCAATGCCCTAATTTCGTTTTAGATATTTTCTGGATTGCAAACTATTAACATTCATACGTAGATAAACGTGGTCCATGTAGCAAGGGCGTGATCATGAGACGTACTCAGAGGCTTTAGCCTCGGATTAGTCACCCAGACGCAGGGGAGGGCGAATAACGCCTCGAGCAGCACAGATGGGGTTGCAGGAGTCGAGTGAAATGCGTGAACCAGGGAGAGAGCAGACGGATCTTACGGGGTAAGAGAGAGACTGTGATAAGATTTAAGAAGGAGGACTGCGTAACAATATGGCAGACTCATTAACATTCCCAGCACAAGGGTGAGGGGGGTGAGAACACCAATGTGTAATATCAAGAGTTTTTACAATGCACACCACACTACATCGAAATAGGCACGGTAAAATTGTATTTGTGAAGGCGTGATACAAGGATATAGGAAATGTGAATAGCCCGGGTCAGAAGGGGAGATACCACAACTGTTTAGCACACGTTTGGTCAAAGGATGGGCTTCACTTGTCTCTTTGACGAGTTGTAATATGGTGCTGCGAATGGTGAGACTCACTGATGATGCCGACTACGATTCTGGCGAAACGTCTGGGAAAGCAACATGTCCACTGTCTGACTTTGGAAATGATCATGCATACAATGGACTCCGGACTAGGTGCGTTCCTCTAAGTCTTCGTATCCACCAACAATTCTCTTCTTCATTCATTTTCATACGTACTGAAAGTCCCCCTAACAATATTATCTCACCAATGACTTTAATTTGGAGTATTTCGAGTGCATCGAATTCCTTTAGAACTCCACTTTGCTCGCATTTAGTTTTTATATGTTTCACCGTTTCACTCTCCAATATCGTTTTGTTATTCTGTCCTGGCATAAAGGGATTAAATTGATAAAGATAAACAAGTGAGTTTTCTTGATCGTGTAATGCATTCCAGTTCGCCACTTATATTTTCAAATAAATGCTACCGTTTGCACTAACACTAGGTGTTTTAATTTAGAAACAGGACGAACTTGATCATCTTCGTCAAGAACACGAAGAAACAATTCGTCAGCTTCGTGGTTCAATCTCCCTGATATGCTCTATTCTTGGTAGCAGTCCCTCTCAATTAATTTCTCGGCAGAATACATCTATTTCATCCGCTAATCAAGGCCGCATAAACTCTGACTCGGATCAATCCTTCAATACACATCTTGAGTCTTTATCTATTAAGCCAGATCCACCATCACTCCTTTCAGAAACAGAGGGCTCATGTCGATCTGCTTCAGCTATGGCTGGCAGTCAGAATAATTGCTGCACAACTCAACCTGATTTAGTTTCTACCATCAATTCTACAATTGACGCTGAATCACCTACTAGTCATGCATATGATTCCTCATTAGCTGAACTTTTAGATAACCCGTTGATCCATGCTCTTTTACAAGCCGGTGAGGAGCGCCCTTCTCATTTCGAAACCTTAGATCCTTCCCAGCTTCATCAGACAGATTCCGAACCCGAGTTAGCCTCTAGCGCTCAGACGGATCACGATTCTTCTGTATATATTAAAAAGATTGATGACCCACTGGGTCAGCCGGGCATGCAACCACTCTCTGAGTCAAGCAAGGCCTCTGGCTTTAATTTCAGTCACGCGTTCAATCCCGCTTGTTTAACTCAAAGGCAAATGACCGAGCTAGTGAGTTTTGGCCTGAACTTATTATATAACCATAACGACTTCCATAGGGTACTCCTGAATGATGTTTGAATGCTTATAGAGGCTTTTTTTAAAATAATTAATTTAGCTTTAGTTTATTTATTAGAGCTATTGTCCATATACGCTATGTATTGCATTTCGCTCGATATAACAAAAATTGTGCTCCATTAATGTTCTCATATTTACGGCCTTACACTTTCATGGAGGATAACTTAATTTATTAGCTACTTGTTTTTAAAAAATCGATTTATACTCTATATAAGAACTCGAAAACCCTACTTATAGAAAAAAAATGTTCCTTATTAAGAAAAATTGAATTTCGAAGAATTCCTTAGTGATATATTGTGTAATGACTTTACATTCCGAAGAAAAAGTTGGTTGGAAGGAATGCGCGATGTGGCCTCATCGGAAACCGAAGGAGGATTGCTGTGTAGGGTAGTGTCGAATTGTGCGAAAAAATCCCTGGCGTCCCCGTTGAATCTCTGCTATACTTTTGTTTGTACCGCCCTGGTATCCATGCTTCACAAAGTAGAGCAAAAATATAGTGAGCCAAAACAAAAGGTTGCTGAGTCATTTTTGGCTTGTGCTTTTGTCTATTGTGTGTATGGGCTTTTCATGTCATGGGAAGTGCGATAGTCCTAGCTAGACTTAAGGCTTATCCAGCCTCCCTCTCTACCTCTCCTTAAGCCTATCCAACATCCACAAATAGTTTCTACTGAGTTTTCTACACTAGTTCCTCCTATTCAGGATGTTGTCTGTTTTGTTAATTCTCATAGACTCCCTAATCTTACGTTTTGACGTCAAGTCCCCGTAGCCTGCAAAACGTTGTTTTGGATCATTGCTGAGTATTCTGTATTAGCCATTTATTCAGCGAGCCTTATTTTGCCTGGAATAATTATTCTGGAATGATTAAGACTTTCCCATGTATAACATTACTATTTGCTACATAATTCTTTAAACATTTAGGTTCTACTCTTTAATTTTCCATATTGTATATCACGCTAGTAACTTTTATGCAAGCCCAGTCAAAGACATCTATCTGCTTCATGAATTTCCTTGATCACTGGTACTACGTGTCATTCATTTATTTTATATTTCGAGCCTTTTAATTTTGATGTAAATCTGCATCAGTCTTACAGTGGATTTATGTCGTCTTACTCTCTTTATCGATCTCTGTATTCCCCTTTTATTTCTTTCTCTTCCTTAATTTTAGGCCTGCTAGCCACTATTGATTTTCTAATATTCTAATGGTTCTAGGAAAACTGGTGAAAGCCCCCACTTTAATTTGCTTAGTCTCGGAGTCTCTTCTTTGTTTATTTCACCCAATGCATCGCGTACTTGTCACTGACAATAGCATATCTTTTTTTCTTTGTTTTATGTCGCGTTGGTTAGTTGCGCAAAAAAGCGCTTCTTTTATCAAGTCGG